CATGGCCCCTTCTCGTTTCCCCCCCTCGCTCGTCGTCGTCGTCGTCGTCGTCGTCGTCGTCGTCGTCGTCGTCGTCGTCGTCGTCGCCGGACCTGCGGCAACCCACGACCTCGGCGAAGCCCCGAGGCGCGCGGCCTCCAGCCCACCCTGGCCACCTGCAGCGCCGCGCTCTGCGCGCTGGCGGCGGGCGGGCTCTGGGCGCGGGCCCTGCGGCTGCTGCGGGGGATGCCCCCGTCCAGGCTGCGGCCGAACGAGGTTCGAGTGGGGGATCGACTACAGAATGGACTTACCCCGAAATTGGATTTTCGTCGAATCTATTAGAACAAGACGTCGAATGGATGTAGATCTACGAGCATGCGTCGTATTTTTCGTGGATTCGACGAACACATCAATGTTGGGCGAAATCAATTCTGTAGTCGATGTCCTACTTCGGGACGGTCGGAATGGGTATGTAAATAATGGGTACGATGCCCAGCACCAGCTCCTGTTTATTTTGGACAGGCTTCGCTGTCCGCGCCGCCGGGGACGTTGTTCGTTGAGGGCAAAACAGCCGCCTGCCCACCAGCGGCCGCTGTCGGTTTTGGACAACGTTCGTTGTTGGGCATCGTGCCCGTTTTTTCCCGTACCCATCTCGGGCGTCCAAAGAGGTGGTGTACGGGGCGGCGATGAGCGCGTGCGAGAGGGCCGCCCGCTGGGCCCAGGCCCAGCTGCGCACGCACTCGGGCATCTGGGCGCTGCATGTTTTTCGCCACTGGCGCGCTCGCGCAGTTTTTGGGGTCCTGGGACGGTCACCGATCCGGCTCGAGAAGTGACGCAGAGAGATGGGGTCTGGGGCTCGGGTCGTGACTCTTTTCAGGGTGCGGCATGCTTCTCGCAATGTCGGATCTCAGGGCAGGAGGGGGGTCGGCACGCGGGGGGCGGCTTCCTGAGAGGGGCGGGGCTGCTGGAGGCCCAGCTGCCCTCGCAGAGGCCCTCTGGGAAGCCTCCGGCCCCTTCCGCGGAAGGCCCCCCCGTGGGTCGCTCTGGAGAGGCTGGCGCCTTCCCCCCCCCCGGCCCCGCGCTTTTTGTTCTCTGGCTGTCGCACACCACTGCGCAGCAATAGGCCCCTTGCGCTTTGGAGCTTCTTCCAGGGCGCTGGCTCGCAGGGTGGCTCTTCTGGTCTCCCTCCCCTCCTCTGTCTCCTTCTCCCCCCGCCTGCCCTTTCCCTCCCTCCGCAGAGCGAAGCCATCAGTTTTAACCAACTTTGATTCGCCAGTGCGCCGTACGAGCTCCGGGCTCGACTGACTGACTGTTCTGACTGACTGACTGTTCTGACTGACTGACGGGCTGTCGCGTTCACACTTGCCCCACTTCTTTTTCGGGGGGTTGCCGTGCCAAGTGGCCCCCCGCTCGTCGCGCCCGTTTGGAGCGCCCCTGGGGCCCTCTGGGCATCGTAAGGGGGGGCTCTGGAGGCCGTGGGGGCCTCCCTGGAAGTTCAGGGGGCACCTTGGGCTCGAGACGCCTTTCTGGCAACACCCGCTGCTCCTTGATTCGAGGGAAGAAACACGGGGACCATGACCAAGACGTCGCAGGATCCTTTCGATGCCGATCTTGGTCATGGTCCGTGTTGGCCGTGGCCGATTCGCGAGGATTATCCACGAACTGACGCTGACCAAAATCCACGCTGTGACCAAGGTCCAAGGCCGACGCGACGTTTCCGCGTTGAGTCTTGGTCATGGCCCCCGTTTTCTCCCCCTCGACTGATCCCCGGCGCCGCGATTTTTTCACAACCTGGTTCCCTGGTGGCCTCGGCCGATTCCCTGGGGCCGGCTTTTCACACCCAGCTTCTCTGTGTCGGCCCCGGGGCCCGGCGAGGGCCCACAGAGGCACAACCGACACGCCAGATCCTGAGATCCGACGTCTCCAAACAGCAATTGCACCGTGAAAAGCTACGACGGGGAGCCGCAGACCCCATCTCTCTGCGCCAGCTTTCGAGCCGGATCGGTCTGCGAGGGTCCCGGGGCCCGAAGCTGGGCGAGAGCGCCCGGGTCGAAGCACTTGTCCGTCGCAGCGCGGCAGAGGCAATCCGCACGCGTGCTCTGGAGGGCCAGGCTATGGCAGGCACGAGCGATTTTCCTGGCGGCAAGAGGGGGAAACCGGGCGGAGCGCGGCCGCGGAGGGAGGAAGAGGAGGGAGGATCTTCCCAGCGCGAAGAGCTTCGACTGGAGGGATTTGCGGGCGAAAAACCGGTATGAAGCAAGCCTTTTCGCCGTCCGGGACGCTGCTCCCCCCCCCCCCGCGCGGCGGCTGCAAAGTTTGTACCCCTTACGGCGCCACGTAGGGGTATAAACTTTGAAGCCGCCTGAGGGGCAGGCGTCCCCCCGACGGCGGAAAAGTTTAGTTTATTCCCAGCGGAGCCGGATGAAATTCCGTGCCCGCCAGTGACTGACTGACTGACTGATTGACTGACTGATTGACTGCCTGATTGACGGACTGATTGACTGACTGAACGTTAGGAGGGCACCTTGAACAACACATTTCGAACCGCCCTCGGGCGCGCAACTGCAACTGGACGACACGTTTCGACCCGTCCACGGGTGCGCAACCGCAGCCGCAACTGGGCGACACACTTCAACCTGCCCGCGGGCGCGCAACCGCAACCGCACCTGGGCGACACATTTCAACCCGCCCGCGGGCGCGCAAGCGCAACTGGGCGACACATTTCAACCCGCCAGCGGGCGCGCAACCGCAACCGCACCTGGGCGACACATTTCGACCCGCCCGCGGGCGCGCATCCGCAAGCGCAACTGGGCGACACATTTCAACCCGCCCGCGGGCGCGCAACCGCAACCGCACCTGGGCGATAAATTTCAACCCGCCCGCGGGCGCGCGAGCGCAACTGGGCGACACATTTCAATCCGCCCGCGGGTGCGCAACCGCAACCGCACCTGGGCGACACATTTCGACCCGCCCGCGGGCGCGCAACAACACCCGCACTTGGGCGACACATTTCAACCCGCCGCAGGCGCGCAACCGCAACCGCAACCATTCAACCCGCCCGCGGGCGCGCGGGGCGACACATTTCAAACCGCCCGCGGGCGCGCAACCGCAACTGGGCGACACATTTCAAACCGCCCGCGGGCGCGCAACCGCAACCGCAACTGGGCGACACATTTCGACCCGCCCGCGGGCGCGCGCAACCGCAACTGGGCGACACATTTCCCGCCCGCGGGCGCGCAACCGCAACCGCAACTGGGCGACACATTTCAACCCGCCCGCGGGCGCGCAACCGCAACTGGGCGACACATTTCAACCCGCCCGCGGGCGCGCAACCGCAACCGCAACTGGGCGACACATTTGACCCGCCCGCGGGCGCGGTCAACCGCAACCGCACTTGGGCGACACATTTCAAGCCGCCCGCGGGCACGCAACCGCAACTTGGCGACGCATTCCAACCCGCCCGCGGGCGCGCAACCACAACCGCAACTGGGCGACACATTGCAACCCGCCCGCGGGCGCGCAACCGCAACCGCAAGTGGGCGACACATTTCAACCCGCCCGCGGGCGCGCAACCGCAATCGCACTTGGGCGACACATTTCAATCCGCCCGCGGGCGCGCAACCGCAACCGCAACTGGGCGACACATTTTGACCCGCCCGCGGGCGCGCAACCGCAACCGCTACTGGGCGACACATTTCAACCCGCCCGCGGGCGCGCAACCGCACCTACGCGACACGTTTCGACCCGCAACCGCAATTGGGCGACACATTTCAACCCGCTCGCGGGCGCGCAACCGCAACCGCACCCAGGCGACACATTTTGACCCGCCCGCGGGCGCGAAACCGCAACTGGGTGACACATTTCAATCCGCCCGCGGGCGCGCAACCGCAACCGCACCTGGGCGACACATTTCGACCCGCCCGCGGGCGCGCAACCGCAACCGCACCGCTCACCTGCCGTCGTCCTCCAGGGGATCTGAGGCGGAGGAAGGGTGGGAGGGATGTGGGAGGGAGGGGGGAGGGAGGAGGGAGGCGGGAGGGAGGAGGAAGTAGGGGAGGATGGAGAGAAGATGGAAACAGGGTAGAAAACTCACAATGATTGGGGGCGGGCAACTTTTGCTCCCCCCTGTTCCACGCAAGTAGATCTCCACAAGGCTCCAGACCCTGGATTTCTATCTGAGGCCTCCACGGTCTGCTAGCGGGACGGGTGGGTTAACCGCCCCCGACGGGGGAGACGAGGCTTTGACAGAAGCGGTCCGTTGCACCGCCTAGTTTGAAATTGGGGGGGCGATGCCGCGGGGATCGATTGCGCGTTCACCCGCGCGCAAGCTGCCCGCGGATGTAGGTGCATCGGCGCCGTCTTATTCATGCAGCATGCCGCGTCTTATTCATGATTTGGTGCAGGGGCAAGTGAATGAGGGGGAGGAGGACGAGGAGGAGGTAAGGGAGGATGAGGAGGAGGAGCAGCAGGACGAGGAGGAAGAGCAGCAGTATGACGAGGAGGATGAGTAGGATGATGATGATGATGATGATGATGATGATGATGGTGATGGTGATGGTGATGATGATGATGATGATGATGATGACGATGATGATGATGATGATGCTGATGATGATGATGATGATGGTGATGGTGATGGTGATGATGATGAGGAGGAGGAGGAGGAGGAGGAAGAGGACGATGAGGAGGAGGAGGAGGAAGAGGAGGACCAGGATGGCCAGGAGGAGGACGATGGGGAGGCGGATGCCAGGGTGGTGCTGCTTGGGAAGCTGCACGAGCAGGTGCTTGTTGCGGAGGACGGAGGAGGATGAGGTGGTGGACTTCAAGGAGGATGTGGGCGTGGAGGTGGATGTCCTCATCGCGGCCTCCAGGCGTGACCCGCGGTTCCCCGCCGGGACATTGCAGCGGGGAGTCCTCATTCCACGCTGCTGCCTCTGCTTTTATACCGTTCTTCGCTCCTACAGGGAGGGCGCTCACAGCGCGAAGAGCTTCGGCGGCAGCGGCGGCATGAAAAACACGAAACGCCAGGACCTCCAGGGAACCTCCCGCCGCGCGCCCCGTCGTTCTGCGCGGGGAGAGTCCCGGGCCATCACTCGAGCCGCGTCGATCTGCGAAGGTCCCCTGGGCCCGAAGCGGGGCGAGAACGCCTGGCTCGCGGTGCAGGAGACGCCGGGACCTCCGGGGAGTCCCCCGCTGCGCGCCCCGCCGTCCACGGCGCGAGGGGGGAGGCTTTAAGCCTGCGCGCGCCGCCGGGCCAGGCGCTGGCGCTGCTGGCGGAGATGCCCCGCAGGGCCGCGCGGCCGAGCCTCGTGGCCTTCAACACCGCGCTGCACGCCTGCGGGAGCTCGCGTCGGGGATCGACGACAGAGGTATCTACGCCAAACGGGTTTTGTCCGTCGATGTTAGGAAAGAATGCGTAAGGGTGCTTCGTAGACTTACGCAGCCTTCTACGTATCTTCTTGTCATAGACTCGACGAACAAATTGTTTTTGGGGGTAAATAAATTCTTGACGTGCCGCGTATCCCTGACTGTCTGTGGGCTCAGACGACACGGTCGACTGTTCCTTGACTGGGTTCTGGTCGTTCGCTTGCCCAAGAGCGTCCCTTGAGTCACTGTGCGTGAGGCTTCCATCTGTGCCCTCCCATTTTCCTACTGCCCCGTGCTCTTGCGCCCGCCGTGTCTCTCCTGTTCCTTGCCTCGCCTGTTGTTGCATGGACGGTGCGGCCACGCCTGGCCACCCCGCGCCGCCGCAGTGCAGCGTGTCGCGCTGTCCGGTACGGTTGGAGCTTGGCGCCACGTGTGCGACAGCTCCCATCCGTCCGCTTCCAGGTTTGTGCTTGCGTTCCCCTCTGTCGGGCCGCCAGCGCCAGCCCCCAATGAGGGTCATTTTGTCCCTTGCGTGTGCACTCGCTTCAATGGCCTATGCGCCTCTGCAGCTAATTATTTCGCTCTGTGCCCCAGTCGTGTCCGCCCCGCTTCCAGGATCTGTCCTCGGAGCCGCCAATCAAAACATTATCCCTGACTGTGGTCGTCGCCTTCGCGTTCAAGCTCCTGCACAAGTGGTTCATCCTTTGGCAGATCATCACGGTCCTCCCTGCAGGCTGGGCCAGGTGACTTGACCAGTGCTTGCAGCTTTACGCCTCCGATCCTCAGTGTCGGACAAGTTGCAGGCTGTGGACTCAGACGACACGGTCGACTGTTCCTTGAGTGGGTATTGGTCGCTCTCATGCCCAAGAGCGTCCTATGAGTCACTGTGAGTGAGGCTTCCGTCTGTGCCCTCCCATTTTCTTGCTGCCGCGTGCCCTTGCGCCCGCCGTGTCTCTCCTGTTCCTTGGCTTCACCTTTTGTTGCATGGACGGTGCGGCCACGCCTGGCCACTCCGTGCCGCCACAGTGCGGCGTGCTCCACGCCCTTTCGCGCTGTACGGTACGGTCGGAGCTTGGCGCCACGTGTGCGACAGCTTCTTTCCGTCCGCTTCCAGTTCTGTGCTTGCGTTCCCCTCTGTCGGGCCGCCAGCGTCAGCCCCCAATGAGGGCACTCGCTACAGCGGCCTATATGCCTCTGCTTCTAATTATCTCGCTCTGTGCCCCAGTCGAGTCCGTCCCGCTTCCTGGATCTGTCCTTGTGAGCCGCCAATCAAAAAGTACCCCCGCCAGCCCATCCATAAATGATGGTTCGTTTTCTTGAGGCCTTTTGGAGGCTATCTTCAGCCATGCTCGGCTAGAGGCTGTCGGAGGCTATCTTGAGCCATGCTCGACTATCTTGGGCCATCTTGAGGCTGCTTTGAGGCCTCTTGGAGGGCTGTCGGAGGCTATCTTGGAGCCCTCTTGGGGCTCTTTGGGGGATGTGGGAGGCCTCCTTGGGGCCGTTTTGGGCACCATGGCTCAAACACGTGGGGGGAGGAATTCGGGCCCCCCATCGGAGGCTCTCAAGCGGCATCTTGGGGCCCTCTTGGAGCGCTCTTGGGCGCCTCTTGGGCGATCTTGGGGCCGTCTTCGGCCTTCTTGGTCCCCTCTTGGGCCTCTTTTGGGCCATCTTGGGGCCATCTTGAGGCTTCCAAAGCCCATCGGAAGCGAAAAGGCGATAATGCCAAACACATAGATTCTCCCTTGGCTTTTGAACGGTTTCGGCATCTTGGAGGGCGCCGTGGAGGGTTCGAAGGGCACTTGGATGCGTCTTGGGGCTGTCTTCGGGCCTCTTGGGGGTATGTCGGAGGCTATCTGGACCCATCTTGAAGTAGCATGGGCCGTCTTGGAGGCCATCTTGCGACTTCGAAGCCCTCTTGGAGCAATCTTGGGCCATCTTGGACGCTTTAACGCCTCGGTACCCCCCTCCTTCCTGGCCCAGGGGAAGGGGTAGTGGGAGGGGTTTCAGTGGAAGAAAGAAGAAACAACGCGTTATACCACCTAAGCCCTGAGGGCTGGTGGGATTCTGTTTTCGATCCCCCACTTGAGGAGCGCCGGGCGCCCGCGCGCCATGCTGGCCCTGCTCGGCTCCATGGCCTCCGCCGGCGTGGGCGCCGACGTACAGAGCCTCGGCCCGCCCGCCCGGGGAGATCGCTCGCCCAGACCCCGCGGCCCCGGGTCGATGATCCCCGGGTCGTGTGTTAGCCGAGTGTGTGGCCGCCAGGCCACTCCAGTCTCCTCGAATTTTTCCCCATATTCAAAGTGGGGTTCGTGTTTTCTCTGGGCACCCCGCGCAGGAACAGGAGCACCCCCTCCCTTCTCACGCACATCATCATCATCATCATCATCATCATCATCACCATCATCACGAGTCCCTCACGGTGTACCTCCCGAAGGCCATCCACCCGCACGAAGCTGGAACCTCTGAGATCTCTCGGGAAGCGTCTGTGGTTCGCCCTATTGCCCTCAGCAATACTGATAACAAAATAGTATCCTTGGCCATATGCGAACCATTTAGCCAGCAATGCCAGTACAGCGTCCTAGGCTCCCAGACGGGCTTCGTGCGCAAGAGGTCTATGCTCGACAACTTGCTCTGCCTTGAGGCAGACATTCTTGAATATGCCTGCTATCGTGGCATGCCGCACGCAGGACTGCTCCTCTTGGATTTCCGCGCCGCGTTCCCGTCGCTGCGCCACGACTGGATCATAGATGTGTTAATCATGATGAATATTCCCATGTATATCGTGAATGCCATTCGGTTCCTATACACAGGCATCTACACACACATATGCCTAGCAGGCAAAAAGTTTCCAGGCTACTCGATCACCCAAGGCATTAAACAAGGATGTCCACTGTCGGGTGCATTATTTGCATTATGCATCGACCCGCTGCTGCGCCGATTATCTAACTTGCTAGCTCCAGTTTGTGCTTCACCCCGTGCCTTTGCAGATGACATCCAGATCTCGGCATCCAACCTGTTGCTAGCTGTTCCGATTGTGCTGAAGAATGTTATTAGGTCCAGCCGATGTACTGGCCTGCTCTTGAACCTTGCCAAGTGTATGATCGTGCACACGCAAGAGATGCCAGATGACCAGCATTTCGCCTTATTCGAAACTGTTCGCACTAACGTTCGCTCGCTCATGCACGGCACCAGTGGCAAAGTCTTGGGTGTTTTCCTGGGCCCTGGTGGTTACAAGAAATCCTGGTCCGCTCCGCTTCAGAAATATATTTGTCGGGTCCGTCATGTTCGGTCGCTTCGTCTTGGGCTTACTCAGAGTATTTATGCATACAATTCCCTGGCCTTCTCGGTCCTCACCTTCGTGATGCAGCTATGTTACATATCGCAGGATGCGCTTCGCATGGAAACAAAAGGATTGCAGACTCTCACCGCGTGCCCGTTCTACAGCATTCCTACTGATCTCCTCCGCAATCTCTCGTCGGCGCTGCATTGGCCCATTGCCCCGCGCAACCTCGTGCTGGAGAATCAGGCTGCCATGTATCGGGTCGCTGTTCGATCCAAGGTTTTTGACAGCATTCGGAGGCGATTTCACGAGCTTGAGGAAGATGACTGGGATGTTCTAATGGTCAAGCGGTTCCCGACATGGCGTGCCGAGTCCATTGTTTTCCATCTGATTCACAACTACGAGCGTCTAACAGCCCTGCCGTGGAACCACTTCGATGAGGACACTCACGAGTTGCATAAACAGATTTTGAAGAAGTTGATTTCTGAGGCCCCCAGTTGCTCCGCGGTTTTTCTCCTGGGCAATCGAATTCGTTTCGCTTTTCCTCTGGTTAATGCCTCTAGTATCGACCTTGCTGTGCTCAGGCTCAGAATTGCCTGCACGCGCGTCGGCCCTTTTGTGGCTGCTGCCATTCTCAAAACCATCTGCAACGCGTGGGCGACCTCTGCCAGGTATAGGCAAGGCCGTCTTACCTGTCGCTTCGGCTGCCGAGCCGCTGGCGGCGACCGCGTCCAGCATTATTTCGATTGCCCTCATGTTCTGAGCCTGCTTCCCTCTGTCCTGCCCTCCCTGCCAGCCGAATATTTAAATCAGAGCCTCGATGCGCGTATGCTGTGCACCATGCCGTGCCATTCTAGTCAGCAGTTGTTTTCTTTGTTTCTCGTCCACGACCTGCTCTTTTCCACCTTTAACTCCTTGAGGAGCTCGCACAGGTACGGGCCCGAATGCCTGCTGCCTCTCCTGCGCGCCCGCGCCCGGCACATCGCCAAGAAGGGGCGCGTCGTGCGGGGCGTCCTCACCAGGAGGCCCGCTGCAGAAGGCAGCTGAACGGCCCGTCTCTCTGACTCGCCCAGGGGAGTGCGATCATCATCACCATCATCATCATCATCACCATCATCATCATCATCACCATCACCATCACCATCATCACCATCATCACCATCATCACCATCATCACCATCATCACCATCATCAGCGTCAGCATCAGCATCATCGTCAGCATCATCATCATCATCCTCATCCTCAGCATCATCATCCTCAGTATCATCCTCCTCAGCGTCATCATCATCATCATCATCATCATCACCGCATCATCATCATCACTTACACACTCGTACACACTCTTATTCTCGAACCCACTCACTCACAACCATTACTCATCACTCATCATCTCTTTTAGGCCCCTGAGGCCTGAATATGGAGGAAGTATCAGGTGGGAGCCTCGTCTGTGAGTGAATTGCGAGGAAGTCTCAGGCGGGAGCCCCCTCCTTATGGGGCCCGCCGCTTGTATTTTTAATCCGAGCGGGTCAGCGGAATCTTGCAAATGTCGTCACTTTTGGGCCCTTGAGGCTTGAACATGGAGGAAGTATCAGGCGGGAGCCTCGTCTGTGAGTGAATTGCGAGGAAGTCTCAGACGGGAGCCCCCTTCCTATAGGGCCCGAAGTTCATGTGAGTAATCCGAGCGGGTCGTCCTCAAACTTGTAGCAGTCGTCATTTTTGGTTTCCTGAGGCGCGAATCTGGGGGCAGTATCAGGCGGGAGTCTAGTTTGGGAGTGAGTTGCGAGGAAGTCTCAGGCGGGAGCCCGATCCTTATGGGGCCCGCATTTCATATTGGTAATCCGAGCGGGTCATCGTAAACCTTTTAACCGTCGGCATTTTCGCGCCTTTGAGGTTTGAATATTGGGGAAGTATAAGGCGGGAGCTTCTTCTGTGTGTGATTCGCGGGTGGAGGGGGGGGGGGGAGGAGGAGGGGGGGAGGGAGGGAGGGAGGGAGGGAGGGAGGGGAGGGAGGGAGGGAGGGAGGGAGGGAGGGAGGGAGGGAGGGAGGGAGGGAGGGAGGGAGGGAGGAGGGAGGGAGGGAGGGAGGGAGGGAGGGAGGGGAGGGAGGAGGGAGGAGGAGGAGGAGGAGGAGAGGAGGAGGAGGAGGAGGAGGAGGAGGAGGAGGAGGAGGGGTGGACGGGGATGCGGAGACTTCGTCCCCCCTCCAAGGGCTGCTGCTTCCCGCGTGCGAGGGCTCCCCCGAGCTGCTCGGGCGCGGCGCCGCGCTGCTGCGGCGGCTGCCCGCGCCAGTGGCGCTGGCGGCGTGCTGCCGGCGGCCGCGGCCGACGCCTCAGCGCTGTGGCTGCTCGCCGGGGGCCGCGCCTTCGAGGCGCGCGTGGCGCTGCGGGCCGCGGCCGCGCGCGGCCACGCCAGCGGCCGCCTGTCGGCGCGGCTCGCGGCTGCCTGCGGCACGTCCCGGGCGGCCGCCCGCCGCGCCCGCGGGCGGCCCGTCGGCGCGGCCCGCGGCGCGGCCGCGCCGCGGGAGTGCGCGGGCCTGCCGTCGCTGGCGCGCGCGGGAGAAGAGATCCGCCTCCGCCTCGCTCGTCTCCGCCTGCTGCGTTTCTTCTTCCCTTGCCTACCATCCTCCTCCTCCCTTCTCCCTCCTCCCTTCTCCCCCTCCCTCCCTCCTCCTCCTCCCACTCCTCCTCCCCCTCCCTCCTCCTCCTCCTCCTCCTCCTCCTCCTCCTCCTCCTCCTCCTCCTCCTCGTCCTCCTCCTCTCCGGCGCCCAGCGTGCGCGGATTGCCGCGGACCGGGAGGCCGTGCGCGAGCGCCGTGCTGCCCGTCGTGCTTCAGGGGCGGCCGCCCGTGTCCTCCCCATCTCGATGTCAGGTTTTTTGTCCGTCCACCCCTCGGGGAGAGGGTTGGCCTGTTCGACGCGGACCGCCGGGCATGGCGTGCTTTTCGTCGACGACTGGTTTCTTGCCATCCAGTGCTCTGTCCTCCTTGCTATGTCAGGTTGATTAAAACAGTTCTTGGTGGAATGTTGTTGAGCGCCGCTTCGTGCATATGCCACCGTGCGACGACGACCTCCCCCTCCTCCTCGTCCGCCTCCTCCGCCTCCTCCTCCGCCTCCTACGCCTCCCCCTCCTCCTCCTCCTCCTCCTCCTCCTCCTCCTCCTCCTCCGTGGAGGCTGGCAGGTGCGCGTGGCATGCACACGCCCGATACCGTACTTGCCCCCAGGCCCGCGCACACCTCTCCTCGAGAAGCGCGTGGTCGACCACAGATTGCACATTCGCCGCGATCACGTTCTCCTGCGTGGCACCGAGCTTTACGACGGAAGCGCTCGGCGGCCCGACAGTTCTTGCGGGTCCAGAAGGCGGCGGAAGTGCTCAATTCACATCACGGATCTCTTGCACCTGCGATGGGCGGCGATGGAAGCGCCACCTCGCAAAAGAGGACAAATATTCAGAAGGAACCGAAGTGTTCCTGCATTGCAAGCAGGCAGTGCGGCTTTGTTGGCAATTATTTCAGTAGCATTCACTGCTACCGCTGTGGGCGTGACAAGCGAGGCGTTCCAGATCCCAACTTCACCCCAAGCCAGTGGACATCATCACGGCCACCTTCGCGCAGCCGCCCGAGGGGAGCTGACGACGGAAAGCAGCCTGACGACAAGGACACGGATGCCACGGGAGGTGACAATGTGCTCAGAGTTCGACGGGCAGTCAATGCTCTCCGAAGGCTGGGATTCGCAGGGGATTCTACACTCGTGGTCCAGGCCAAGAAAGATCTACAAGCAGCCGAAGCTGAGGAGCAGTCGCGGCGTACTCCAGATGACATGCTCCGACGAAGCCTCGATCGACTCACCCAGAAGACGAAAGAGGTGGACGTCCTCAAGGACAGCGTGGCAGAGACCGAGGGCAAGCTCGACGCCGAGCGGAAGGCCCTTGTCACAGCCACGTCGGAGCCCGCAGCCATTCAGCACGAAGTCAACTTGGCTCGAGCTGCTGTATTGGCTTCCACAGGCGCTCCTGCAGCTGCTCCCAACCGTCAGCTGTCGGACTCGGTGCAGCGCCTTGTTGCAGTGGTGCAAGGAGCCCCAGGTGCCCTCTTGGCTGGCAACCAACAGGCCACGCTGGCCTCCTTGGAACGTCAGGCCCAGGAGCTCTTGGGCATGGTGGCAGCAACAGCATCATCCACGGCAGCCCCAGGAGGTTCAGCAGTGGTCGGAGATGTTGCAGTCGGCATGCCCGCGCCAGCTACACCATACGATTTCACAGCGATTCCGCAGTCAGGAGAATTCGATCATCAGCAGCAGCCTCACCCATGGGACAATGCCCTGGCAGGTGGCCCAGGCGACGAGATGGACCACTAGATCGGACCCCCTCACCTTCAGCGGGGTGCTTGGTGCTACGCAGGTGGTCTCTTGTGCGACGCCACCCAACGGCGCGGGCATCGGTTATCTTCTTTGGAGTTGCTACGACTTGCAGCAGCAGCGGCTGGAGACCGCCAGGCGGGCCCCCCGGTGGGCTCGCCGAAAGGCCTTCACAATTTCTACATGCACTGCGAACGGCTGGCCTCGTCTCAAGGATTACCTGCAGGACGGTGCTGGCGGCTCTCTGCTGGCGGCTTCTCAGGAGGTCCGCCTCTCGGGCGATGCTCGCCTGCAGGCCGAGGAATGGTGTCATCGCAATGGTTGGAAAGCATTCATTACGGAATGCCTCACGGGTCCGACTGGTAAGCCGATGGTTGGTTCTGGTCTGTTCATACGCCACCACATTGGGACTACTTATCTTGATGCGATGGACGGTGTCTTCGATCGCGTGATCATGCCGATTTGGTGTGTTGCTGTGTACGTACACACTGGGCCCCGCGGCGGTTTTGTGGCATGCCCCCCCTGCTTGGAGCAGGGCCTTGCGCTGCGGGGGGGCGACGCCTCTCGACTGGAGAGGCCCGGATCCTTGCTCCGATTCTATCGCGCTCCCTTCACCGTCGCAGCGGACTGGAATCTAAGTCCGACAAAGCTGAGCGAGCCAAATTTTGTTGAGAAGATCGACGGCCAGCTGGTCGTAGCTTCCCTTGGCTCGCATAGGGTGGCGAAGACGGGAGAGCACACCTTCTTGGACTACTGGGTGGCCAGCGAATGCTTAGCTGCTGAAATGAAGCATGCACGGCGAGTCGCAGACTATCCACCGCGCCCCCGCTATCCGATGGCAGTGGGCGTGGGCCCCAGGCCGGGGGCGAAACAAGTTGTCAAGCTCAAGGCTCCGCGCCCGTACGCCCCCAAGCCCGACTTTCCCCCGCTGCTTGATGGAGACGACGACCCACCGAGTAGTGCAGTGGAACACGGTCACCCAGGGATTTCTTGGTTTGGCCTCATGGAAGCTCATGCGCACCTTGGCACAGGTACTGCCGAGTCTAGGCAGGGACGACATGATCACTTGTGCCAGGCCATCTATCGTGGAGTTGAGAAGGAGTTCGTGCCGCTTTTTCAACCTGCTGACGCGTATGCGCACGCGGGCAGAGGAGACGCAGTCGAATATCATCATAGTACTGCTGGTGGAGCCTTGGCCTTTCGGAGGCCTGCTGGCACCTCGTGCTCTCGAGCCTTGCGTGGCGTGCTCTCCATCGCAGGGTGGGGGGCCTGGCACGCGCGGTGCGCAAGCATGGCGCGATGCCTGCTGCTCGTCGCCATTTTGTTTGGCAGCCTCTACGCGATTTGATTTCAGGCAAAGGGCGACTGTCAAGACTGGCGAGAGTCATGCCCGAAGGTCTTTTAGATCAAGTTGTGTATTTTATCGCGGCCGTCTTCGCGCAGCCGCAGTGGATGCGCGTGATCGCGCTGAGAGCGGCCGCCTCTGGCCTCGACATTCTCGCTGACCGTGGGGGGCAAAGGCTCGCTCGAGCCAGGGGCCAGGGCTTCTCAAAGTGGCTTCGTGACAGCCTAAGCGGCCGTCCTGAGCCAGTTCATATGTGGACGAAACCGAAGGGGTGGCGGCTAAGTCAAGACAACACCCCCGCGGGGCCGTCCAGCTACGACGACGATGTCGCCAACAGCCGCGGGGACTTTTGGGAAGGCATCTGGGGCGGTGGTACCTCTCCTACCTCTTTGGCACCCCTTCAAGAAGAACTCGGTCGTCTTCGGGACTCAGGGCCTCGCTTGCCTCCTATTGGGTCTTCCAGGCTCCGAAGAGGCGCCGAGTCATTTCCTGTTAGGGCTGCTGTGGGTGCCGACTCATGGAGGCCTCGTCATTGGGCCCTTGCTTCAGATCGGGCTCTTGCTGTCTTGGGATATATGTTCTACATGTGTGAGCAATGGGGGGCCTGGCCCACGTGTCTCATGCACGTGCACATTGTGTTGTTGCGCAGGCCGACGAGGGGGCGCAGGCCTATCGCTCTGTTGGTTTCGCTCTACCGTCCCTGGGCGAATCAGCTTGGTCGCGACTACATTGCTCTCGGAGCCAACCGTGCTACGACTGATGTGGCCGCCAGAGTTTTGCTACGTGGAGAAGCATTTTCATCCGCAGAAAAAGATGTTGCAGGATGATGTGGTATGTGTGCGTGCGATAGTGGACATCGAGAACTGCTTCGACTGGGTTGTCTGGGAGGTCATCCTGAAGGCGGGGCTCCTGCATGGATTTCCTGGGCCCCTACTGGTCTTTGCAATGCACATGTGCGCGTCATCTAGGGGGCTTTCCTGGCATGGTGCTTTCTCGGAAGTCGTCTGGGCCTCTCGGGGAGTATTGCCAGGATGTAGTATGGCCATGTACATTTTGCCGCTCGTCATGCCCACCCCTCTTGACGCCCTGATCAGCTCCTCAGTTGATGTGGATCGAGCGATGCATTTGTACGCGGGCGACCTGACCATGCAAATCTTTGCACGAACCTCACATGTATTGGAACAGTCATGCACAGTCCTGAAGGGGGTGGTTGATGTCTTGCACACGATCGAGCTAGCACCAACAAAACGTAACATGACGGTGGCCGCTACGTATACTCCAGTGGCGAGAAAGGTTTGTCGTGTGCTGAGTGGTCTGCGATATCGTGCTCTGGGCTCTCTTGAAGTTCCTGGGGTCGAGGTCTACTCAGGCAAAGCTCTTAAGTTCGGACGCCTCCGACGAAGGGTTCTCCAGATGCGCAAGAGGCGGAACATGCTCAGACGCGTGCAGAAGACAGGCCAGCTTGCCTGCCGCTTCGCCAAGGCGGCCGTGCCGTCGGCCCTCATGTATGGAGTTGGAGTTCACGGGGCTCCACCACTAGTGGTGAATGCCATGCGTGCTGCCCTCAGGGGCTCGTGGTACGAAGCAGGCAAGGCTGGGTCGGCTTGGAAATCATCTTTCTTGCACGGGGGAAGGGGCTCAGGACCCGCAAATCGCTGCCTGGGTGGATCCAATGTACCAATGGGGCCTCCTCTGTTGGGGCTCCAAGTTGCGCGCCCTCCTGCAGATGGCGTGGCAGCGTGCGGTGCCAGGGCTCTTTCGTGCTGCGCATCCTTGGGGGCGAGTGGGCGGGCCCGCAGGGGCCGCGATCCTAGCTTTCAAGAACTTGCAGTGGGCCGCGTCCTCGGCCATCTACGTTCGGACCGACCTCGGCGACGCCTTGGGCCTCAGGAGTTTTCCACCGGTTGCCCTTCGGGAGCTTGCGCGTACTGCTGCGTTTAGAAGGCTCTGGGAGGAATGGGCCAAGAGGCCCAACCGTGATGCGTCGGCCAACCTGGGCCCCAAGACTCTTGCGGGGTATTGGTTGGGCCCCGTGTTGGCTGTTCTCCGTAGAGCCCGACCCGAGGAAGACCCCGACAGGCCCCATGTGCTTCCCTCCAACACGCGGGGACTTTGCGAGCTATTGTAGCAGGAGGAATGTGGCCGCCCGTACGTCGCCATTCTCTCGGATACATTGATGGCCCATCATGTACCTTATGTTCGCGCAATGTAGCTGATTATTTTCATATTCCTTGGTTGTGCAATGCGACCGCAGACGGCAGGAATTCTCTATATAACGATGCTGACATTGCGGCTCTGCCCTATCCAAGTTCGACAGCATGGTTTTGGTGTCGCGGTTTGTACTCCAAGGCCCTGCTACCGCAAGTTCCACCACGAGATGATCCCATGGAATGGCATTCTCTCTGCGGGGGATGCTCATATGTCACAGGCCTCCCTTGCGCGGACGGTGCATGTTGCAAGTGCCACTTTTGGAGTGATGCCTGTCGTGCTGGTTGGGGATTTGCACAAGTGTCCGACCATGGAGTGTCCTTGGTGGTCTACGGAGCTCTGCCTGGTCCCATCCAGTCTAGCCCGAGAGCGGACATGTTCGCAGTAGCGCAGCTGTTGAGAGTCGCGCTGCTCCCGATCAAGGTGCTGACGGACTTCCTCGAACTACCGCAAGGGCTAGCTCGTGGCAGGCTTTGGTTTTGTCCACCGAAGCGTCCGAATGCAGATCTATGGGTTGAGATATGGTCGAGGATTGATGATCTTTGGGGCCTGAGCCCCGACTTAGAAATCGCTTACACTCCTGGGCAGCAGCAAGGTCGCACCCTGGAGGCCCGTGGAAACCGATGGGGCGATTTAGCGGTCCCAGGGCCCCAGGTCCAAGCCGTGAGAGCGCGATTTGCTGCCGTGGAGAAAACTTTAATCTGGATGGCTAAGGCCCACGGAGCCTACTTAGGACAGACTGCCCCCCCCCTGGCCAGAAACGTTCGGACCGGCGTCGTCGACGTCGTCAGCCGAGGGGGCGTGTTCTGTGAATCTCCGTCACATTTTTTACGCTGTTGCTGGAGGCTGGAGGTGTTTCACTTGTGGGCGAAACACTCGGTCCGAACAGCAGCGACGACTGCTGGCCAAGCGAATCTGCCCTGCGAAAGCGTCTGCCTCCGCTCGTGCCTCTGGCGGGGGGGGGGGGGGGGGGGGGGGGGGGGGGGGGGGGGGGGGCGTTGCTGCGACGCGAGCGCGATTGAGGTCGCCAGGAGGGCACCCTGAACGTGATCGCTCGGTCAGAGCCAGGAGGGACGAGCCCCCCCCCCCCCCCCCCCCTTCCTCATTCGCCCTGCCCGACTTGCCTCGAGTGCCTTCCCGAGCGAGGGCGACAGGCGAGTCCGATTTCGAACCGCGGCTGACGATGCCGTCGCCGCCGCTGCTGCTGAGGCGCGGCGCCCGCCTCTCCTCCTCCCGAGCCTGACCCGCCGCGGAAGGCTCGTCGGGTGGCTCCCCCTGGGGGCTCCCGCGCGCCGAGCGCTCCGCCTGAGCGTGTCCCCCCTAATGCTGCTAGGGGCCACCTTCTCTCGGTCGCCCCAGCTAAAGTTGTGATCTGTATGGTGTGCGGAGGCATTTCTACAGGGCGATCGTCGCCCCTGTTGGACCCCTGCCCCCCGCCCCCCTCAAAGAGGGGGATGCCGCACATTTGCCCGTTTATTCATAATAAGCACCCCGCCGATCTCCAACGCCACGAAGAAATCTCGGGGCAGCGGAGACTGCGGGTTGCTGATTGAGAGGTAGCCTGGCTCCGACTAGATGCCCAATCTTATGCGATGGCCTGCCGTCGCACTTCATATATTGAACCACTCGGTCTGAGCTTCATTTTCACCTTTGCTCAGCTCAGCCGCGCTGTCGCGCCTCTCCGCCGCGAGCCTTCGGGTGGGCACTGAGAGTGGCGCGAGGAGCAGCCGCGCTGGCCCGCCCTACAGTGAGTGTGCCTCTCTCTGGTGGCCGTTGGTTCATTGCGCGACGGATCCCTTCAATGCTGCGTATTCTCCTCCTCCTCTTCCGTGGGATCCCAAGGCGGCGGGACCCCCTCCCCCCCCAAAGCGGCTGGAGGGGGAGGGGTTTGGGGTGGTGCAGTTAGCTCGCACGCCAAAGGGTTGGCCACTTTGGCCAGAAGTGCGTTCGGAAATGGCGCCGTTGAACACAAAACCTGTCGCTAAGGGTGAAGGGCTAAGAGATTATTTAATCGCTTCGCTCATTCCGCCGGCCCATATTGTCGCACCGTTGTGGGCTAGCCGAGTTTTGGGGGCCGTTTTGGGGCCTCTTGGGGCCTCTTTTGGGCCTCTTGGGCGCCTCTTGGGGCGTCTTGGGGGCCTCTTGGGGGCCTCTTGGGGCCTTTTTGGGGCCTCCTGGGCGCCTTCTGGGGCGGAGGGCTCGATTTTTCAGTTCTCGGTTCCCCTCTTGAGCCCCTCTTGGGCCCGTCTTGGGGCCTCTTGGTCCGTCTTGGGCGGCACTTGGGCCGTCTTGGGGGCCCTCCTGGGCCGTTCCGGGGCCGTCTTGGGAGCCTCGTGGGCCGTCTTGGAGCGGTCTTGGGGGCCTCTTGGGCCGTCTTGGAGCGTCCGGAAGCCGAAAAAGCCAGAACACAAAAAACATCGAAAAAAACAATGAAAATCAACGATTTTGGCCTCTTGGGGCTCTCTTCGGAGGCCTCTTGGAAGGCTCTTGGGGCGTCTTGGAGGCCTCTTGGGCTGTCTTGGGGGCCTTTTGGGCCGTCTTGGGGTCATCTTCGGCGTCTTCGAGCGCTCTTTGGGCGTCTCGGGGGCCTCTTGGGCAGTCTTGGGGGCCTCTTGGGGCACTCTTGGCGCGCTCAGGGCGGCCTGAGAGGCCGCACCCAGAAGGAAAACCATCTCTGAGTTGAACCGGGCGGGACCTTGCCAGGCGGCGGGCGGGGTACTTTTCGCCGGGGGACCCCCAGGGGCCGCCCCGCGCGCGCGAACTAGTACAATACAATTGTTAACCAGTTACCGGAGATCTTAGCACGCCTCTGGCCCGTTGGGCCGGCGAATTCTGCAAGCGACTTGCGTGTATCAAGCCAGAGACATGAGGTACATCTGGGTAGGTCGACGCACATCCGTACGGATGAAATAAATCCAGAGATGTCGGCGTAACTCTTGATAGTTCGTGGAGGCTCCAGCGCGAGCCGACGGACAGCAAAAGTCGTCAAGCCCTGAACACCTTTTGGCGTTTCAGGCCTCGAAGCCGATGCCCAACCGCATGCAGAAACAATAGGAAGGAAATGGATGGAAGAGGGGGGTATAATGGGGGAGGAGGAAACGGAAACGGGAGGGGGAGCGGGACGGAAAACGGGGGAAATTCCCAGATAGCTCCTTCTGAGAGCTAAAAGGGTTGTTAGAGAAGAAGCCAGCCGGCAGGGCTGCGCCAACTCCTCTCCAAGGTTCCCGGGCAGGCATCCCCGCAGCGGTTTGCTTGAGCCCGCAGCGTGTTCCTGCCAGCTTTTTCCTACTCGTGCCCAATACGCGTGCCTGAAGCCTCTGCGTAAAGCGTCTCCACAGCTCCTTGGAAGCTTCCTTCTCCAGATCTTGCGAGCCTCCCAGGCATTCTTGGATAGCTCCTCGGAGCTAAGTGAGGGTTGTTAGATTAGAAGCCGGGGCCAGAGGGTAGCCCATAGATCGTTTCGGCGGCGATCCAGGCTCCCCGGCGCGGCTGGTTTGAGCCCGCAGCGTGTTCCGGCAGGTCCTTTACCAAGCGTTTCCCAATACGCGTGCGTGGAAGCTCTCCAGAAGGTGTTTGGGAAGTCCTCTCCAGGCCCTGCCACAGAGCTTCGCCTGGCCCTTTCACGCCCTTCTGGCGCCCTGCTATCCAGGTTTTGGGCTACAGAAGTGAGGATTTCGGTCGCTCCGCTGGCGTATGCCAGCGTTGCAGAGACTCGTGCAAGCGTGTAGGAGGACGACGACGAGGGCGAGGAGGGGGACGAACGATCACCAGGAGGAGGACGACGCGCACGGCGACGGTAACGATGGAGACGGCGAACGTGACAACGATGAGCTGGGAGAGCGTCCTGCCACATCACAGGAAACAGCACCGCTCCGTCCGACCGGCCGTGCGCGTCTGACTTCGCCCCTGCCCGCCCGCGCTGGCCGCCGGCTGGCGGACTCGTGCGTCCTGCGTCTTCCGACCCCTCCTCGTCGTCGTCACCCTCCTTCCGCTGCTCGGTTCGGTTCGCTTCGGATGAGCGCAGGGAGGTTCGAAACGCAACCTCTGAGCAGGACGAGGGCAAAGCGGAGACACCGTGGGTGTGAAGAAGGAGGAGCGGGAGGAGGAGGAGGAGGAGGAGGACCAGTGTAAACCCACGACCAGTGTAGGAGGACAAGGAGGAGCCTTCGGCTTCCCCTCCTCCTCCTCCTTCTCCTCCTCCTCCTCCTCGTCATCCTCCTCCTCTTCCTCGTCCTCCCCCTCCTACTCCTCCGCCTTCGTTCACCAGGTGATATGGATCACCTCGGGCACTCGATGCTTCGTACGCCCTTCGCCCCTCCGCCACCCCCACCCCCAGCCCGCGAGGTGCTGCCATGGCCGGGTGGCCGTGGGGCGCCTACGGCATGCAGCAGGGCGGTTTCGCCATGCCAGGGGCCGACGCGGAGCGCCGCCACCGCTTCCGCCGCAGCAGCCGCCGCCGTCGTCGTCGTCGTCGTCGTCGTCGTCGTCGTCGTCGTCGTCGTCGCCGCCATCGTCGCCATTGCCTTCCCCCTCCTTTCTCTCGCCTCTCAGAGGAGGGAAAGACGCTGGTACCACTGCTCGTCCTGGCGAGCTCTCGTTGCCACGGCTGCGCTCTCTTCGAAATTCTTGTCAGAACTCACCGCAGGAGAGGTACGTGGAGTAGCGGTACCCGCCGGTCGTCGAAAGTAGGTAATTTGGGATGCCCAAGTCCCAATCTATTTTTGGCGCCTTCCTACTTCAAGAGTCGAGTGTTTTTTTTCCCTCCCTCCTCTTCAGGGGGCGGGCGGAAGCCCAATCTATTTTCAAAGCCTTCCTACTCAATGTTTCTACCCACTCCTTCCGACCGACGGGTATTGGAGTATGTGTGTGTGTGTGTGCCCCCCCCCTACCCTGCCTGCCTCCCTCCATTCTCTCCCCTTCCCTCCCTGCCCCACTGCCCGCCGCCGCTTGCCTGCCAGGACGCCGACAAGAAAAAGAAAAAGAAGAAGAAAAAGAAGAAGCGGAACCGCTCCGGCTCCTCCTCGGACAGCTCCGAGGTCTCGGACTGGAGGCAGAAGGCGCGCCCTGCTGCGAGGAGGAGGAGGAGGAGGAGGAGGAGGAGGAGGAGGAGGAGGAGGAGGAGGAGGGGGGATGCCTTCACCTACTGCCTCCTCCCTGACCACCCCCTCCTCCTCTCCTCATCCTCCTCCTCTCCTTCTTCTCTCCTCCTCCTCCTCCTCCTCCTCCTCCTCCTCCTCCTTCCCCGCCTCCTCCTCCTCCTCCTGCTCCTTCTCCTCCTCCTCCTCCTTTTCCTTTTCCTCCTCCTCCTCCTCCTCCTCCTCCCACCTCATCCTTCTAAACAACATCTCCCTGTCGCACCACCAGGCGGGTCCGTGAGGCCGTGCTGGCGTTTCGCTTAAGATTTCCTTTCGGCAGTCGTGTCCTGAATCCATTCGGTATAAGGATGGCTCTTGCCTTGTC